ACGGGATAAAGTATCCAACGGAATGTCCAGGATGGACACGTCTCCCAGAGCAACGTAAAGCATCTATTCAATAGAAGATAAGATAAAAAAGGGAGGTGAGTAGTCCTTCGCGACATCCGTTGAAATTGGAACGATACATAGAAGGGTAAATTAGCAAATGGCCCCTGCGCAAGGATGACACGCATAAATCGATAAATGGTCCAAATTGAAAAAAAAAAAGAAAAAAGAAGGGAGTTGCCTTGCATTCCCATTGAAAGGGGAAGAAGATGATAATCCGTGGGATATTCATTTTCTTTTTTTTCTTTTTCTTTTCTTTGTTTAATTGATTGTCTTTCACAAGTCACTGGCCGATAAACTGCGAACCTACCTTCTTCCCCCGAATAGAACGCCCGGTCATTATAGCTGTATTTAGACTGAAAAAATTGCCCCCAAGCTTACACAACTGTAATGACCGGCGGCCATTTAATTCGGGCGAAGACGGCTAGTTCATGTTCTCATCCCCTTTTTTTTTTTTTTTTTTTTTTTTTTTTTTGAGGGCTGTCGAGTTGAGGTTTTGTTCGCCAGTGAAAACAAACCCTCCTCAACCTCCACCACCCGTTGAAAAAAAACACCACACTTAAACCACCAGTAGTACTTGGCCCAGCTATCGGCCGCCAAAAAAAATAGAGTAGAAACGTTTTAGTCGGATGAATTTGGACGCTCCTGCAGTGGCAAGTACGTTTTCTAAAATCATGGCGCTTGTTAACGGGCACGACTTTAGGACGTATACTGGTGGTTCAAGAAGAGTAGAAGGTGGGATGGTAGACGGACAGATCTTTCAGAACGGACTTTATTTGGGGCAACTTTCAGTCTAGATCAACGATAATGATCGTACCGTTCTGTTCAGGTGGGGAGCTAGCTATCCGGGTTGGATGAACTCAGTCCCTCTTTTTTTTTTTTTTTTCCTCCTGTTTCATTTATTCACTGGATAGGTTGGACGCCTTCGGGCACCTCTAATTTGTGCATTCCTTCCCCTTCCCCCCCCTTCCCCCCCTCCCCCTGTCCCCTCTCTCTCCCCTTGTACCCCCTCTCTCCCATCTGTCCCCTCCGGGAGGTCCAAGAAAAAACAAATCATAGAAGTGACACGATAAAAATAATTACACTAGCTGCTAACAGCCGTGAAATCGACTTTTGCCGGTTTTCTCTTCTAAAAAAAAATAAAAAAAGTAAAATGGGCAGCTGTATTTTCTTATTTTTTCTCAAAGAAATACAACAGTAATTCAAATGGGTAGCCGTAGTGTCTTTTTCTTCTTAAAAGAATGATTGAAATGGTGCTAACAGCCGTGAGATCGACTTTTGCCGGTTTTTATCTTCTCAAAAAAAAAAAAAGTGAAATGGGCAGCTGTATTTAATTTTTCTTCTCAAAGAAATACAGTAGTAATTCAAATGGGTAGCTGTAGTGTCTTTTTCTTCTCAAAAGAATAATTGAAATGGGAAGTTGTATTAGTTTCTTTTATTTTTTCCCCCGGTGGCGCCAAGTTGACAAGGGAGGCAGAAAAAAAAGGAAAGAAATTCTCATGCGCAGTTTATTTTACGCATTTTTTTCAACAAATCACACATTCTTTAAAAGTCAAAATAAAATATATAAACAAGGCGGGGGACCACACAATCATCCCCCGGAGACTGGAGGGCGTTACTCAGCTTCTTCTTCCCTTCTATCCCCCCTCGCTGTCTGACTACTTCCCTAATTAATCCCCTAAGCCCTAACTACGCCTATTTCCCTAACTACCGTCGTCTTCCCCCGAACATAACGCACCCTAAAAATGAATGTACACGAGTTATATTTCCGGCCCGATACAGCCAAAATGAGGGTGCGTTGTGTTCGGGGGAAGACTGTAGCTCTAATACCCCCCACTAATCTCCGTCCTTAACTACACCCTATCGTACTATTTATAGACCTACATCGGTCTCCTGGTTGGTGTATCCAACCAGATCGTGTACACGAGTTATATTTCCGGCCAGATACAGCCAAAATGAGGGTGCCTTGTGTTCGGGGGACGGTAGCTCTAATAACCCCCCTAATCTCCGTCCTTAACTACACCCCGTCATACTATTTATAGACCTACATCGGGTCTCCTGGTTGGTGTAAAACCGACCAGATCGACCCTCGCTCCTTCAGCCTTGAGCTCTGATCTCGTCTACTGCGACATTTCCTACCGTCTTCACTCGAATAGAACGCCCGGTTTATTGCTGCATCTGGACGGACAGCTGCTCCGAATACATCCACAATGACCGCGCGTTCTATTTGGGTGAAGACGGTAGTCCCGAGCGTTCAGCCGCTTCCTACTACTTAAGTACACTACTGCCCCTACTACCACTCTTCGAACTTCCAACCTTCACCACTGCCCCTCAGTCGTCCTGTTCTCTGCTTCTCCCTACCGCTCTAGAGGGTCCCAGATTGCCGGTAGCTGAGACCCTACCCTAGCCAGCTAACCCCCTACCTACGAAGTCTTTTTTTTTGAACCAACCTCCTCTCTCTTCTGGGATTTCTGTCTTTCAGGACCAGTCTCCGCCAGTCTCCTCTGATGTCTTTACGGAAGGTAGCCTTTTTTTTTTTCTTTTTTTTCTTTTTATTTATGAAAAATTAGCTTTGAACACAGCTTCTTCGCCTGGTCATCGGACAGGACAGGCGCTTATCTGACAAGCGTTTTTCGTTCTATTTCTTCAGGATGCTCCACTTCTGATCATCACCGCTGTCTCGACTTGAGCTATGCTATGTAATAACCCCATCATCCTTTTCTGGATGCACCAGTGGGAAAAAAAAAAAAAACGCTGCACCAGTGGAAATCCCACCAAACCAACTCGTCCTTCGGGACATCCGTTAAAATTGGAACGATACATAGAAGGGTAAATTGGCAAATGGCCCCTGCGCAAGGAAGGATGACACGCATAAATCGAGAAATGGTCCAAACCAACTCCACGATTTCCGCGATCTCAGACATGCCCACCAAAGGCGGTACATGCATTCATTTTGGGCCTCAATCCACTGCAACAGACATTCGAAATGTATCTGGAGCTGCTAATGGTCCAAATACCTTCAAAAAAAACGTTTGATCAGTCCGAATGTACGAATGTACGTGGTGCGAACAGTCGTGCGGATATTCGTGTTCGCAGATGAATGTGTCGAATATGGAGTAGTAATGGAGCGAGGCCCATTGTCTCAAAGATCCAGCCGCATTTGTCACATGTTGGGTCCACTTGCTGGCATCCATTTCCCCTCTTTCATTCATTTGGCTACGGGGACGGGTTGATGTGGTTGCTGCAAGCACGAACGAAAAAAGGCGAGGCCAGCTTCTGGAGGGCGTACTCACACTACTACGGTAGCTGTATCTTAAATGTATCTGACCGCATGTATGGTCGGAACTGGATGCATCTGACCGCAATTACGTTCAGCCAGCTCAGAAGATAAGCGGGTGACTTCTTCATTCTGGTGAGAATCGAGATGAGCTTGCTAGAGCCATCAGTTTGACAAGATAGCTTTTTTGCCATCTTTGCATCGAGTGCCCTCTTTTCCCCTTTCTTGAAACTTTCTTCTAGCCCAGCGATTTGGACCACGCTCATTATCCGGCTCAACACTGTGCCTCTGGTCACCAGACTGGGAGGTTTCTGCTGCTCTTCACCACCGGTTGCTCCCTTCGCCGCATTCGCACTCAGATGTCCTTAAAATCGTGGTGGCAATGGAGAGGCCATATTGAACAATGGTTTGTATGTACCTCCGTGTGTCAACAAGCAAGTCAACAAGCCAGGAAGGCAGCAATCCGAAAAGCAATCCGACAAGCAAGCAAACAAACAAGCCAACCAGGAAACAAGAAAGCATGCAAGCTAGCAAACAAGCAAGCAAGTAAGACAACAAGCAAGAAGCAAACAAGCAAGAAGGAAAGAAGCAAGGGGCAAGAGCAATCAAGCAAACAAACAAGGCAACCAGGAAACAAGCAAGCAAG